CGCCATCAAAATACAAAACTCTGTAGTTCCCCAGCGTCCTGAGAGAATGGGTTGAATAATTGAACCCATATTGAGTTTGAATTAAGCTCTGTTATGTAGCATTTGAAAACTCAGCAAAGTGTGGCCATATGTGGTTGAAAACCACATCACTTAAATTCCCCTGTGACTGCCTGTGGGCTTAGAAGGTGATGTAGCAAGAGGCAGGGCGAAGCAAAGACCTTGAAGCGTCATTGTTTCAGCTGTCTAGGCTTGCCTGTTTTTGGAGTTGAGATTTAATTGTAAGTCTTGCTTCCAGACAAACTAATTTTACAACAGCTGTTTGCCTACAAGGGATATTTATTTGCTTTATTGGATTAAGAAAGGTGGGTCAAGGGGATGGGAAGGAAAAGTGGATGGGGAAACAGTGATGATTCCATGGAAGGTGAGGGCTACCACGTAGGCATTGCTTAAACCAAAAAACTCAAAGAAATATGTGGAGTTGTGTACCTTGAGGTCATCTGTTGACTAATAGCAACTTCATGAATTTCATCTCATTTTCTTAGGCAATGAAGAGGCAGAGGTGGTTTTGTCACTTGCTGTCTCTGAAATATATAGCCTAGCTGATTCTGTTTAGATTCCAAGACCAAACTGAATTTGGTGCCTTTAGGATACGTGGGTCCTATTTCTATTTCAAATTGGCACCTGTAGCTCTATATTAGTACAGTAGGCCCTCACTTTCCCAGGTGCTAAGGGCACAGGGCCATCATGAAAGTGACCCCACCCTCCAAAAAAGACCTTAACAAAACCTTGCTATTTTTTTTGTCTGAGAACACAAGCTTGTTTTCTACTGCTCTAGAGCAGTGGTTCTCAACCTTCCCAATGCTGCGACCCCTTAATGAAGTTCCTCATATTGTGGTGACCCCCAATCATAAAATTATTTTCATTACTACTTCACTACTGTAATTTTGCTACTGTTATGAATTGCAATGTAAATATCTGATATGCAGAATATATTTTCATTCACTGGACCAAATTTGGCACAAAGACCCAATACGCCCAAATTCGAATACTGGTGGGATTGGAGGGGATTGATTCCATCATTTGGGAGTTGTAGTTGCTGGGATTTATAGTTCACCTGCAATCAAAGAGCATTCTGAACTCCACCAATGATAGAATTGAACCAAATGTGGCACACAGAACTCCCATGGCCAACAGAAAATACTGGAAAGGTTTGGTGGGCATTGACCTTGAGTTTTGGAGTTGTAGTTCACCTATGACCCAAGAGCATTGTGGACTCAAAACAATGATGGATCTGGACCAAACTTGGCATGAAAATCAATGTCCAAATGTGAACTCTGGAGGAGTGTAGGAAAATAGACTTGACATTTGGGAGTTGTAGTTGCTGAGATTTATCATTCACCTACAATCAAAGAACATTGGTTCTAACAACGTTAGAATTGGGCCAAACTTCCCACACAGAACCCGCCTGACCAACAAAATACTGTTTTCTGATGGTCTCTGGCGACCCCTCTAACACCCCCTCATGAACCCTCCAGGGGTCCCGACCCCCAGGTTGAGAAACACTGCTCTATATTATTACATTTATTATGTTTCTCAACTGGGGGTGGGAACCATGGGGGTTGGGAGGGGGTGGTGGGCAGAGGGGTCGCCTTACTTACTTACTTAGGTGATCCCTCGTTGTCCGAGTATGATTGTCTTCCAAGATCGGTGTACTGGCGGTGGGTCCGTAGTTGACTGTGGAGCCCTATTCTTAACCTGCATGTTCTCCTGCAGTGAGGGCATTGGTTTCATAGTGGGAGGCGGTCCTGGTCGGGGTTGGCTTGATACTCCTTCCTCTTGGCACATTTCTCTCTTTTGCCCTCCATTCATGCCTCTTCAAATTCAACAGCACTGCTGGTCACAGCTGACCTCCAGCTGGGACACTCTGCTTAAAATCTTCCAAAGAAGGAGCCTCCACCACACACCAGGGCAGAGAGTTCCATTGCTGAATGGCTCTCACAGTCTGGAAGTTCTTCTTAATGTTCAGGTGGAATCTCCTTTCTTGTAATTTGAAGCCATTGTTCTGCATCCTAGTCTCCAGGGCAGCAGAAAACAAGTTTGCTTCCTCCTCCCTATGACTTCCCCTCACATACCTATACATGGCTATCATGTCTCCACTCTCAGCCTTCTCTTTTTCAGGCTAAACATGCCCAGCTCCTTAAGCCACTCCTCATAGGACTTGTTCTTCAGACCCTTGATCATTTTAGTCGCCCTCCTCTGGACGCATTCCAGCTTTTCAATATCTCTCTTCAATTGTGGTGCCCAGTTCTTTCTCCCACCCTGGAATTTCCACAGCTATATAAACCCAAATGTGAAATGTCAGGAGAAATGCCTCTAGAACATAGCCCTATAGCCTGAAAAAAACCCACAAGAACCTAGTGATTCCAGCCATGAAAGCCTTTGACAATACTCTTCTGGACACATTCCAGCATGTCAATATCTCTCTTACATGAGGCTTGATCTCATGTAAGCTGCCCCGAGTCCCCTTGGGGAGATGGTGGCGTGGTATAAATAAATAAATAATATCATCAAATCAGATTATTCTATTATCTGTTTGAACTGGGTTATATGAACCTACACTGCCATATAATCCAGTTCAAAGCAGATAATCT